AGATACGGATAGATAGATACGGATAGATAGATACGGATAGATAGATAGATAGATAGATAGATAGATAGATAGATACATAGATAGATAGATAGATAGAGATAGATAGATAGATAGATAGATAAATAAATAGATAGCTGTCCGTGTCCGAGTCCGAGTCCGCAGCAACGTCTGTGAGGTCACTCTGCTGGCGCCCAAACCCTGTCGCTACAGGTCACTATGGCCTAGCAAACTGGTCAAACAAGAGCAAAAACCGCCGAAACAGATTTCGCCACACCATCAGCCATCCTTTTTCCATGCGCTGTCCCGTCCTGTCTCCACAACTTTGAATAGGCCTTCGAAGCATCTATCACATAGTTGAACCCATCCAGTGGCCTCGACGAGTTCGGCGGCTCGGAGCGGTGCCAGCAACGACGTGTGGAGTGCATGAGACGAGCCTCTCCACTAAGGATACGACCCTCTCACTCACTGGACACATCTATTCATGATTCATACCAATGAAGCCAAGCTGGGCCAAGCTTGGGGATCAGCATCAATTTCCTGCAAAGTGAATGGGTCGTGATATAAAACATATGTTATAATGTTATATTGGGCTATGAGAATATAGGGCTGGGGGCCTTGCAAGTCATTTTAGGCTTAGAATATGGTCAGGTTAACTAGCTCAAGGATATAACATGTTGTATCAAAATGACTAGGCCTGAGCATGGGAACAAAACCCCTAATTGACTATAAGATCACAATACCTTACCTCAGAAATACACTGAAATACGTTTCCTCCAAAACATGCATATTATCACATGAATCCTCCCTGCTTTGATCCAGAAATGGGATCGTAGGAACCGCCATAGTTTCACAGCGGTGTCCACTATCAACAAGTTTTCTCTACAAAATCCCTCCCTACCCCCCCCCCCGGTCAGGGGAGCGATAAAACGTTTTATGTGCGGAGTTGACCCCCAGATTTCATGATTTCATAGGCGATATTCAAAGGGCTATACTATAATAAATATATACATTACAAGGTTCGTAAAAGGACTTCTGCCCTCAACGCCAAGGACCTCCTTGTGCCTTACGCCTACGCTGACCTCTGCCCGGGTCGGAGGGAGTGGTGAGGCGAGGATTGGCTGGCTAGCGCTTGTTTGTGTGAGCGCTTGAATACAAAGGCCTCGTGCCTTGTGCCGCCCTTCGTATCCCTGCCTTCTGGCAAAAGATGTACAACAAAAAAATGCAGCGAAAGTAGAGAAAGGGGGATACGAAACGATCCAGTTATATACCATACTAGAGTCTCAACAATAATATATATATATAGAGAGAGAGAGAGAAAAGGGGATACGAAACGATCCATTTACCATACTAGAGTCTCAACGATAATATATAAATATATATATATATTGTCTATATTTTGTTTATATATATATATTTGATGACAACCTGCTCTTTGCTATCGAACGTTATCAATCAGATGAGAGAGCTTTTCTTCGGGTGCCATCTCCCAGGCCCTGCCAGGCATCCCTGGCGTCCGCAGAAACGCATTCGCGATCTGTGCATTGATGGCCCCGCCCGCGGCACCTCACACGACACGCACGACTAGGGCGTCCTGTACGCCGCTGAGGTCATCTTTAGAACGGCTGGGGGGCCGAAACAGTTTTGCGCTGTGCGCCTCTGCTCAACTCCCAACAGTTTAGGCCCTGAGCCGCACACCCCAATGTTCTCCATGAGCCAAGAGCGTCCACCTGGCAGAATTCGCATGGCTTTTCTTGCTGTTATCACAGCACGTTTCTAGTGGAGCCTCTTCTGTCTGCTTGAACTCGAGGATCCCCGACTGAGTGGAACCCTGCAACTCTAGAACCCGCCCAAAATCGCCTAAGCCGAAGGGAATGCCATTCTTGTTCCTTGTAGCTATTTGCTCCGGAGTAGTAATGCCAGGAGCTACGTTCGTAGCGTCCTTGCTCCGTTCGTAGCGATGCCCTTGTTACTAGTAGCTTCTTGTTTCTAATAGTTTCTTGTTACTACTAGTAAGGCACTTGTTACTAGTAGCGATGCATTTGTTACTAGTAGCGATGCCCTTGTTACTAGCACCCCATGCACAAACGACAAGGCACAAGGTTCAGGCGACTCCCGGCCGACCCGACGGCATGGATGACCGATGAAGCGACGAGGGAAGGGGCCCCCTGCATCCCGATAAACCCGAAAATACCGGGATCTTCAGGGTGTCCATGTGTTCAAGAGAAAGTTTCAAAATAAGGGCCGCCCTCAACTGGTGAAGCCGTGTTTGCTTTGGTTTGGCCCCGTTCCCAAGGGTTACGGGTAGTGGGCCATCCCTTTTCAAGCTTCAAACCAGCCCCAAAACTGCTATTGGTACAAGACCCCTCTCAAGGTCATAAGGGCACATACGGCACAGTTCATGGGAATCTTTCTCAGCAGTGGTCATCTTCCACACAACGTAATGGATGCCGCTTATGGTGGCACTTTGATGCAGATTATATTTGTATAATATAATTATACGCGAACGGATGGAAAGGTGTGCCCTGGCCCCGTTCTAGCTATTAGGTCAACATGAAGCTCGCGCGCTAAAGCTCCTTTTTACCTGGTTGGGCACTTGAGCCAAAATGTATATGGCATGTACCTGTATAGCGACTATACTGGGACCCCATCCCTATTGACACCCCCCACATCCGTACTTCGACGGGGAAGGGAGATGAGTGGGTGTAAAAACCGGAGAACGAATCACGTTCTCAAAAGTGTATTGGAGGTCCACCAGTATGTCCTATTGAATTGAATTAGCAAAAGATCTTGCATTCGCTTGAAAGTTAGATCAAACAGGCAGTGGAGCTACAAGCGGAAAACGTGCACCTACCTATGGTATCATGCGATTACCAACGGTGTGAGACACAATCCTATCTCACTCCCATGATGCCAAAACGGTCATCATGAATTACCCGAGATCCCTCAGTACTTTAAGTACCGGAAGTGGCATGTCGGTATGACCCCAATGCTCAACCATTCGTGAGTTGTCGCATGTAGTCAGCGCCGACAAAGCCAATGTAGTCCTTGATGAGCTCAACGTTCCTTGGATTTCCCGCTCGGATCTGCTCCTCGAAGGACTTCAATTTCCTTTCTTGGATATCGGATACCTCTATGCCATAGTAGCGGCATGCAACGAGGATCTCCTTCGTGACATTCTTCCTCTCCGATTTGATGGCGGGACTAATGTCGATGAATTTGTATGGAGCGGCACTTTCGTCATCTGGTTTCTGGTAGTAACTATATCGGCTCGCTCCGAAGGTCTTCTTGATCATGCGTCTGATGAAATTTGAGATGAATGCCAATTTCTCGATGATCTCATCCTGGGTCTCAGACTTTCGAGCCTTTGGATCACTCATGCTACGCTGAGTGTTGCCGACCTCTTTGAGGTACTTGTGGCTAAGCCCGCAGCGGATTGCAGTGATCATCATCGGATGAACAACGTTGGCGTGGAATTCATAGATCTGCCACGCTTCTGCTGCAAACACGTCGTCGGTCCATCTGCTCATGCCTACGACCTCGGCTCTCTTAAGACGTCTTGGAAACCCAGTATCCGGATCTTTCGGTACTATTGGCCATCTATTGTGCGGAGTGTCATGCCGCTGTCCATCGTCGAACATTCGCAGTACATCTTCACGACTCTCAAAGCAGTTGATGTCGAACGTTGCGTTGGCCAAGCTCTTGATCAACTTCATCAACCTCAGATCAAATTGCTGTGTGACGGCAAAGTTGTGGTCGATGGGGATCGCAGCTTCTTGCGGCAATTCGTCAATTGCGAAGGGGAAAGGCTTCGGAAGTTCATTCCCGTATCCATCTTGAGGGACCTCCCGATACTCGGGTTCGCCTTCAGCTTCGTCCGGTCGTTCCTTCAAAATGATAGGAACTTCCTCCTCTTCCTCTCCTTCGGGTTCCTCGATCTCAATGACCTCTTCGGCTGTCTTGCGTGCGTTCTTGATGACTTCATCGATGTTTGCACCTGCAGTAGAAGTTGTTTCACCGGAAGAACTGGCTGGGACATCTTTCGGAGGTGATCGTTGATTGCGGTCCCTTGTCTCCTTGGGTACCACATGAGTGAGCTTCCCATTCGCGATCAAAACCGCTACGCAGTGCGGACATATCGTCAATCGCACATCGACTTCGCCAAGACAGTTAGGACACGGCCTTGAATCGTAGTCTTTCATCGCTCGGCGATACACGATCTCCTCGAAGAGTTCCTGCCACTCGGTGTTATCATACTCTGGGTAAACACCACTCTCCTCGATCATACCCAACAGCTTTGAGATTTTGGCGTCGTCCTCGGAGTAGGTATCGTCCTGAACCTCAACCGCTAAGCTCTCAAGCTTTTGAAAGCGTGGAATCATGATCGGGTTTCCGTATTTGGACTCTAGAACAAGGTAGCTTCCAGGGTCGGGTTCCCCATTGAGTAACCGGATCCATTCGATCTTCTCAGGCTGCCCGGGTTCCGCATTGTCGCATTGCAACCATGCCCCTTTAACCTCATCGAAGGGAACGACGTTCTCAACCAATAGAGACCCAGTCGCTGAGATGAGAAGTCCGTACTCCTGCAGCTTCCACACCGGAATGTAGAGAACCACTGGGCGATCCCTCATTGCGACCTTACGACCCAGCCAAGGTTTACCCTTGTAGCCCTGCTCCCAGGCCCATGGCGGAAAACATGTGAAGTGGATGGAATCCCTTCCCGATGAACCGAGACCTCCCGGCACTAGCCCTCGTCGCATGATTGATGTCAGCGCTCCGAGATTGGTAGCGTGAAATGCAGTCACCATAGATAGGGCCATGTCGTTGGTCATTCTCGACCCAATGTGGTCGATGTCAATGGTAACGTCATAACCTCCGCCGTCCGTTGAGTGTGCCGAGGTTGCTCTTACAGCCACGGGAAAGCACCATCCATCACTATGGTGGAGTCTTCCTTTAGAGATTCCCATGTCCTTGAGTTCGTTAATCCATCCCTTCTCCATCGGGTCATCAGGTTCATTGAGTTCATCAGGGTGAACACGGACCGCTAACATTTGGAATCTGACCCTCCTGGTCATGCGGAAACACTCATAGTTTTGGTCGAAGTACTTCTCCAAACGCGCCTTCTTGGTCACGATATCTATGTTGCCGTAGTGATAACCGTCTTCCCAAACTGCATTATCACCTAACAGGTCTTCCCATGACACCCATGCACCTTCATCGCATTTGATTGGTGCGAGTCTTCCTCCTGCCCTGAACTGGCGTCCAATTCGATGTCTCAACTTCGCTCCCAATCGACGACTCAGGGCCTGGCTCGTTTGGCTGTATTCACGTACTCGACAGTCTGGAGTCGGATACTTGTGGTTGCCGTAGTCGGAGTTCTTTGCAGCGAAAGTGACTCCGTTGATCGGTACTAGTTCAACTTTCCCGACCATCGTCATGGGGTCGATCGGCTTGTATCCCTTCTCCCTCCGTGTTGGTAGGGGATAGAAGTGATGACATGCCTTTGGTGTGAGGGAACTGGAGTGCACAAATGCCTTCTCGACAAATTCATACACCTCTTTCATATCCTTAGGGCCTGCTTCCACAAGCTTCCGCCCATTGTAGGAATGTGGTCCTCCTTCGACTCCATCAGCACTTTCGATCAAGGTGAATCCGTCATGGTCGAACATTGTCACGACTCTTGCTTTCAACATCTCTTTGCGCCTGAACTCGCTGTCGACCTTTCTATCTGGAGTGGGCGACGCTCTCTGCTTCTTCTTCTTAGGCTGTTCGGTTGGATGTCCTGATGGTACATCGTCGGGTGCAACCTCTCCCTTCACTCTCTTCTTCCAATCACTCAACACCGAGGTGACTGTAGGTGAGGATGAAAGGATCTTATCGCAATTGAGAGTTGTGTGTCCCGACTCCATGCAGTGGACGCAGAATTCTGCCCGCCCGATCTTCTTCTCAAATTCGTCGATGGCGTGCAGTATTGATGCCTTCGGGTCGGACATGTCAACATCTTGCTCCTTCTCCTGTACACCTTCAGTCTCCATATCGACACCTTCGGCCTCGGGCTCGCCTGTGGCTTCTGTTCCCTGTTCTGGTTCTTTCCCAATTTCGAAGAAGTGGTCGATGTCGAATTCAGGAAGCGGCATAGTCCTCATGCGAACGAGAATCAGTGCCACGCTTGCCGCCTCATCAGAGTGCGGGTCCATGGTTCTAATCATCGATCGCTTTCGGTTCTCATACGTTGTCCTGTCGTACAGCGATGCAGTGACGCGTTTGATGGATTCCTCTAATCCCGTCCTCAAAGCTTCGATGTCACCCCATCTCCTGAACATGTGTCTGAAGAGTTGAGCAATTTCGAACATGCCCAGCAGCGCTTCCACCATGTCACCTACCCGTTCCTCCGTGGGATCATCTCCGAATATAGTGCGGAATACATCGGGTTCCAGTATGGTCTTGAGGTATTTGGTGTTGCATACGTTGCCAAGGTCATAGGATCCCTGGAAGTACTTGGCGCTGCCGACTATCTGCTTTTCCACATGGATGCTGGGTCCTCTCCTCGTTTAAGTTCTCCGTCATTGTTGATGACAACCTGACCCCCCCCGAAGAACGAAATCTCCTTCTGGAAACCTGGATTCTCATTGAAGATGATCATCGCCTCGTGTAAAAACTTCATCAAGTCATCGTGCGGGTTCATCTCGGAGATTACGATGGTGGGAGAAGATACCGTTTGCCCCATGCC